CCCCCCCCCCATGGTGGCGACTGACAGGCCATCATTTGCCGCGGTAATTATACATTATTCATAGCTCCTGTATTGAACTCATTCCTCAATATTAATTGAAAACGTTCTTTCAAAATGTCCAGGTTTTTTTCTTTTTTCAAATTCATAACTTTCGGGGATCTCTGCGTGACGGGGAATCGAGTTGAAATTTCGAGATAAAAATCGAACAAAAAAATCAATTTAGATAACGGCAGATAATAGAGCCGGGCCTTAAGAGTATTAACCGGTAGATTTGTGTATACCTTTGTGTCTTCTGGTTTAGTAAGAGTAGTTTGGGGTTTCGGCTCTTCCTGAAATAGCGCATTTCATTTTTGAATTCATATTATTCAATTTCCTACTATCGTTTACAGTGTGAGGTAAAATGTGTGTGTACCTTTGACTGTTCTGGCTTTTTGAGACTAGGTCTACGTGTAGATTCGTCCTGAAATGTTTGTATTCTATTGTTAACGCTTAAGTGTTCTAATTTTACATGTTTGGAAGGATCATCTGTTGGATTTGTGTATACCTTAACGTCTTCTGATTTAGTAAGAGCGGTTTTGGATTTAGGTTCTTCCTATAATATAGTATATTATATTACCAGTGCGTAAAGAACCATTTTTTCGCACGCACGCGTACACATCCTATTTTTTGTGATACCTGCCAAGTTCACGATTTGGAACGTTAGTGGGGGTAAAGTGGTGGTTTTTGTACACGAAGTGCGTAAAGTGAATTTCGAGTACGTAAAGCGTAGCTTTACGCACGAGAATTTACTTTACACACGACCTCTGAACTTTAGGCACACTAAACGGTTTCGAAAAGTGAACTTTTCAGGCAGGTATCACAAAAATGAATTTTATGGTTGAGTTAATGTTACTGTATCTTTCATGGTTATGTTCGTTTTGTGGGGTGAAATATTTGTGTACCTTCGGTTCTTCCGGCTTTTTGAGACTAGCCTTGCGCTTGATGTCATCCTGAAATAGCACATTTTCATTGTTTAAGATTTTTGAACTCATATTTTTGTAATTGTTCTTTGTGTTGTCAATGTGTACCTTGGCTTCGTCTGGTTTTTCAAGGGTAGTCTTGGGTTGTGCCATGACTCCCTCCTGAAAGTTTTCATTTTCATTTTAGAGAAATTATTGTCTGAAGGATTAATATACTGTTTGATTTTTTCGTCTATTTATGTATACCTCAGGTTTTTTTGGCTTCTCATCAACCAGATCAGGTTGAGTCTAAAATAATTTTGATTGAATTAGATTAGAATTACTATTCCGAATTAATTTACATTTACAAACTCATTAACAACTCTACAATCAATTCTCATTTTTGTTACTGTTACTCAATACCGATTTTGTCATGAATAATTTTGAATACCTTTCCATCTTCCTCGGGGGTTTTCTTCTTTGAAATCGACGGACGTTTCTGAAATTTATTCATCGTGTAATAATTCGCCAATTACGCATGTACTTTTCATGAGTGAATGAAAAATTCGTTTAGACTGGTCAATTTTACCTTCGCAGCAGTGGGTTCTTCGACGGATAATTTTTTAGGCTTCTCCTACAAAGTATTCGCGAAATGAAATTGTGAAAAAAGACGATAAATGTGTAGTGAGAAAAAAATGCGCGATTTCTCAAGCAAATCTTGTTTGGACTAAAAAATCGCAAGTTAAAAATTGCACAAAAGAAATTGTTGATTTGAGTTCGAAAGTCTGAAGCATAAATAATCGCCCTGGTTTCAAGATCAACGAAATATTTGCCTGAAGAGGTGGATCATTCACATGCGACGGTGCCTTTTCACGACCAAAATATTTGAACACCACCCTGAGGAGGACATCGATCACATTCTATGGTAATACCCACGATTTGAAGAACAAAGAAAAAAGTGTGAAATACCGTCAACTACCTTGTATAATGGTGAACATTGTATATGAGCTGAATTTCATAGTTATTGCTGTGGAATGCATACTTTCACTGATTGAGTGAATTTTGCTTGTTGGGGCGAAAACGTGGGAAGAAAAGCTATAGGAAACGTCCCGTCAGAAAATGTTTAAGTGGAGGAATGTTAGAGATTAGAATAATCTTAAATATAACAAATCTGTTACCGATTCTTTGGCCGCGATTCACGCAAAAACGACTAAATCGATTTCAATGGTATTTTTACTATTATACAGTTTAGGATCCTCAATCGGTTTTAGATTATAAGTTATTGCGCTGGGGTGCATAGTTTGGTATGCACCATGGAAACTTCTAGAAAATTCTAGAGCGTTCTGGAAAATTCTGGAATATTCTCGAGTTTTCAAGAATATTTTTGAGATTTCTGCAATGTTTGAGGATATTCTCGGGTTTGGAGGCGTCCATTAATCACAAAGGGGGAGGGGGGGGGGGGCTTGGGGGATATCACATTAAATAAATACATTTGTATGATTTGTATGAGGTAAATACATTTGATGAGTTGACTGATAAACAAAACGAAGATATGATTCAACTGGACAATAACGGATTGTTGAAGCCTGACAGTAGAGTGTTTGTTAGTGTTGAACAATGTTTTAACAATCCTTGGATTGATGACAACTCATGAATTCAGAGTCTCTTCTGTACGACACGTGCTAATATAGAGAAGACTTTTCCCAAAGAGACACAATAGAAAAGGCTATTTCCAAAGAGAAACTATTTGCAGAGTGATCGATATCAAATATCGAAACATTATACTATTGAAATTAATATACTTAAGAGATGAAACTACGACTCATATACTTTAACGATTTGTTTCTGGAATAAAATTATTTTTCGTTCATTAGACGTGTATAAAAGAGTTGTCTTTTTAACAAAAAAAATTTTTTTTTTTTCAAAAGCGATCATTTTTCATACTGAGCTTTGAAAAAAAACACACGTGATAACATGCTGGGGAGGGTCGACGATATATCACGATTGATCACCAGGGGGGGGGAGGGGGTCAGAAATGAGTCAAAATTGGATCACGTCATTTATGGACGCCCCCTTTTATAGAAAGTTCGAGAAAATTCTTTGGTTTTACAGAAAATTCGAGTAAATTCTCAGGTTTTCTAGAAAATTACAGGAAATTTTTCGTTTTTTTTTAAATTCGATAAAATTTTCAGATTTTGTAGAAAATTTGAAAGGATTCGCGGGTTTTCTAAAAAAAATGTTTTTTTGTGCAAATTGAGCAATTCAATTTCAAACTAGCTGTGTCGCCCGGCTTCGCCCGAATAGAATAAGAGAGTATTTTCCGGGCCTGGATTTCCGCAAGCATTATTTGAGGTCCCCATGCTCATTTGTAACAAATTTTTTCGGAAATTGCGCACTAGCTTTTGGAAATTGCATCTGACTATTTTTTAATGCTTTTTGATGATTTTTTCGGTTCAAATAAGACTTGCTTGAGAACATAATTTTTTTTCTCAGTTTATACTGGGAATTTTTTTAGGATATCTCGTGTATTCTACCTTAGTGTCATCGATTTTCTCTTTTGATTTGGCTTTCAACGATGGTTCCGCTTTCTAGAAATTATTTCAAGTGTCCAAAATTGAAATTTGTAATTGAAACAAAGAGATATTGTGATGAGCTTGACTTACCTTTTCCGATGAGACTGACTCCTTTCTCTTCGCGATTGAGGATCGACGACTTTCGGATTTTTCCTCGCCAACCTGATGAAATTATCAAAAGAACATTGAAGGGTATTCGAATATTTTAGAATATCAAATCAATTTTCACATTTTTTCTATTAAAAAAATATTCAAAAAATGAGTACCTGAACCAAAGACACTCGTCTACTGGAGGGGAGAGAACCATCTTCGGATATCTACGAAGATTTGGTTCAACAAAATGATCCGTTAAAAAAATACATAAATAAAATATCAGAAATCGAGTCAAATTTTTACATTTGATTTAACATGTGTCGGCTACGAAGAGGTCTTTCGACTATTTCTTCTTTCCAAAATCACTCACCGTTTCCTCAGTAGTTGAGATGAGTGAGCTGCGTCGGCTCTCCGTCTTCAATTCCTCGACTCGACTGATCGAGGATTTGCGAGAAGTAATTTTTTCAAGCTTCGGAGTTGTCTCACGTGATGCATCTTTGGATTCTGGCTCCTTCTTCTTGAGGGTCTTCTTCTTCTCAGGCTCTTTCTTCTCCTCTGGTTTCGGCTCAGTTTTTTTCTACGAGTGATCACAAAAACAGTAGATCATTTTAGTATCACTCGTTGAGAGAAAAATCAGGTAAAAATGACCCTTGACACGGAGAAAAAAAATTTTTGATTTTCAGGAATACGTCATGAATTAGATTAGATGATGTCGTCAATTTGATTCATAAAAATCAGTGGCATGTTCCTGAAAATCAAAAATTTATTTCCTCTGTGAACTTTATGAAATCCTACCTTGATAGATTTCCTTTCTTCAACGACTTCAACGTTGTTAACGACCTCTTCATCCTTCTTCTGTTCGAAATGAATGATCAGATTAGAAGAAGCTTCTAGCATTCAGAAATTTGAGCACTCAGAAAAGCATGCAATATCTTCATATCAAACGAGTAGTTATCATGCAGTGGAAAGGATTTGGAGGATTTTATCGTAATAAAGGGAAGCATGAAGACTCCGCCTTGGGTCTCTCGTGTAAGCGACGCTTGAGCCACACGTGAACAAATATCACCGGTTGTTGAGCTGAGGAAAATTGAAGAAGCATTAATAAAGATTATAGCAGATGAATGGTAATGCTACAATATCAAGAACCATTAAGAAATTAAAAGCATTATATTTATGGCATGAGAAATAATTTCAGTACAAGTCTTTTGACTCACCAAGACTTCTTTTCTCTGAAATAAAAAAAATAACAATGATTGGTACAACTTTCAAAGCAGAATTATCCGTTTTTTGATCATCTTTATATTGTCAAAACTTCCAATTTTATGGACAAATTCAGGTGCATGCATTACGGGTTGAGGAGAACAAGAAACGAATAATGGAAGTGATAGGAAAAAATCTTGTATGTGTGAGAATTCTATTTGAAAAACTGCTTTTGAAGAAAAAAAAATCATGTGTTACCTTTTCCGGTTTCGCGATACCATTTGGTTTAGCGTCTCCGTTTTCCTTGAAAAAAAAAAATGAAAACGAAATCGTATTGATGATCCAAAAATAACGAAAAAATAAGCTTCGAGGGTGAGAGTGAAGCATCGAGTGTATGTGTCACTTCAATGTACACTGTTAAGTTTTTGGCTGCAATTTATAGGATGAGCAGACCAATATATCGACGGTTAAGGGTAATTTGTGGTTCGTCGAGAGATCAAAAATTGATAAATTATCTGAATGAGCCAATGATGGGTTTTCCGCCTAATAAAATGTATGAAGTATGGGAGAAAAATAATTTGAAGTGGAAACAATGAAGAAATCGGAAATTTCGCGATTAATCCAGAAACTAAAGCAAACAATACAATTCGATTTTTCTACAGGGTGACGTCAGTACCTTGTTTGCAAATTGTGATAAAATATAGAATGGAAAATCAGTAATTCAATGGCATATGAATTATGAAATTACGATAATAAATTTTTGAATGCCGAGCATGAGAATTTTTCAATGATTTACCCAATAACATCATGGTAGTCCCCCGCCATGCCGCGATGATTGAATGACAATTAAGCCGATATTTACTGCGATGATTTTAGCGACGTTATGCGCCATATTTGGAACACCATTATGTGCGATAGTTTGAGCAATGTTCATGGCAACCATGAACCGATAATTTCATCAACATGAAGAGCGATATTAACTATCATATCGAGTCCCATTGACAACTACGTCATCGTTTCCAATCATGGCGATAGTCAATCGCAATGTAATTGGCTAAAGTATTGAAAAATTCTAATGTTCACCATTTGAAAGTCTATTATTGGAATTTAGTAATTTTTATACCATTGAATTCCCGATTTTCTATTGGATATCTGCCTGAAATGTGTAAACAACGTGCTGACGTCACCCTTAATACACCTTATTGTATTGAGATCTTTTCTACAGAATTTCCTAAGCTCAAATTTTCCAAGTTTTTTCGCATTCTATTCTTCTTTTTTGTTCATCAAGAAAATCAAAGAAATTTTTTTAGAAAATTTGAAGCAAGGAAATGCTATAGAGAATATATCAATAGAACAAGTTTGGAAGAAAAATCGAATTCCATTGACTTTTTCTGTCGAATCTTGTCTATTGAACATTTCAATACAATCGCCCGAAAACTTATAGAAAGTTGAATAGAAATCCAATAGAATTGTTTATCGAATTCATTAGGTTTTTCTATTAAAGTTTTTCATACGTGGTATTTATCTATGGTCTGCTTACCCTAGATCTCCTAAAATTTCAAGGAATTTCATCATTGAAAATTCAAAATTTTACGAAAAAATTCATGGAGACTGTAAATTTCAGTTTAATCATCCCATAAAAATGAATTGAAATCCAAAACGATTTCTTCACGATTTTTTTCCATAAATGGAATTCATTGTCACTCCCCTGACAATTACTACTCAACTGTCCCTGAAATTTTAATTTTTTTATCAACAGTGTATCTCAAAGAATGTAAATGTATCCGTGTAAGTGTACCTCAACGTTTGAAATGGATTGAGAAATGTCAGACTGTGGTTCATCGACGATAGGTTCAGCAATACTGGACTCGATGGCACTCACCAGATCTTCAGCATCATCATCAGTTACTTCGCTATCATCATCAGCACCATTTACCGAATTTGATATTGAATTTTCCTATGAACGTACGTTCAAACACGAAAAATTTTGATTCAACAAGAGTTCGAGAGAAAAAAAAATTAAAAATAATATAAGAGTACGTCGTTGCCAATCACAGAAAACGAAGGAAGTGCTGGTGTTGCATGGCAGTAAGAAGCACTCGATCCGCGAGTTAAGATTATGAGTGAGCATCGAAGCGTTTTCTAATATCTAAAATTGTTAGTCGAGTCAATATATTGAAGCTGCAAGTGAATATTCAATTTCCGTTTTACCTTCTCCTCGATCTTCTTGACGTCCTCGATTTTCTCGTCAACCTTCTTCTTCACATCCTTCTTCTTCTCCTCCTCCACCTTCGCAACTTCCTCAATTTTCTTCTTCTCCTCCTTTTTCTTCTCCTCAATTTTCTTCACCTCTTCAATCTTCTCGTCAACTTTCTTCGTTTCTTCCTTTTTCTTCTCCTCGACCTTCTTCACCTCTTTAATCTTCTCGTCCACTTTCTTCTTCTCCTCTTTTTTCTTCTCCTCGATTGTCTTCACCTCTTCAATTTTCTCGTCCATCTTCTTCTTCTCCTCTTTCTTCTTCTCTTCTATCTTCTTTTCTTCCTCCACCTTTTTCGTCTCCTCAATCGTCTCCTCCTCTTCCTTCTTCTTTTTCACAATCTTCTTCTTCTTCTTCTCTTCCTCCTCCCCTTCCTCCTTCTCCTCGCGTTTCTAGAATTTTTCAAGGGTGAGGCATGCGGAACATCGAGGGAACATTGGGATTCAGAGTTATCTTGGGTGGGCAGCAAATTAAATACCTCTAGGACGATTCTGGATAATTCTATTGAAATACTCAATAAAAAATATTCTGTAGAAAAAGTCAATAGAATTCGATGTTTCTATACAGTTTATTCTCTTGAGATATTTTCTATAGAATTTCCTCTGCTCAAATTTTCTGTTTTGTTCTCTGATTTTCTTGATGAAAAGAAAAGAAAAATAGAATGAAAAAAACATGAAAAATTGCAGCCGAGGAAATTCTATAGCACATATCTCAATAGAATCAGTTAAAAACTAATAGAAAATTCAATACATATCGAATAGAATTAATTGTCTAACGAATTCGCTAGGTTTTTCTATGCAATTTTTTAGTGCCTGCATTGAGGAAAAATCCACGATGTCGGAGAAATAAATTTATCAACTCGAAAAATTGACTAATCTTTCAAAGCAGAACTATCCACTTCATTTTACTCATCCTCAAATTACCAAAATTCCCCCTTTTATGGACAAATTCAGGTGCATGCATTACGGATTGAGAACAGGAAACGAATAATGGCATTGATAGGAAACAATCTCGTATGTGTGTCAATTCTATTTAAAGAATTGCTTTCAGAGAAAAAAACATAAAGTCTCATGGGTGAGGTATGCTGAATACCGAGGGAACATTGGGATTCAGGGTTATCTGAGGTGGTCATCATATTAAACACCTCTGGGGTAAAAACATTGAGGGAACATCCACAATATTGAAGGGATAAATTTAGCAGCTTGAAAAGTTGACCAATCATAGAAATATTCTGACCAATATCTTACGACTAATGAAATAATCATCCCTATTAATCATGTTCCATATTAATGATTTTACCTTGACGGTGACTTGGCCACTCGACTCATCCTGTCCAGCTTCGTTCCTTACAACAACTTTGTAGGTACCACTGAATTCTTCAGTCGATGAAGTTATAACGAGTTTCATCTCAATTCCATTGAATAAAATGCTGACATTCTTCGTTGTTGTTATGATTTTCGAATCTCTGAAATCATATAAATGATGAGAATAAAACATTGAAATGACAAGGAATGATTCTTCCTTTTATTTTTCATTCCATTAGAAAGAGCATAATAATTGCAATAATTCCAATAAGCGAACGGGCGTTTCGCGCCCGTCGCTAGATTAGTTTATACTATATTATATTATTTTATTTTTTTCGCCTTTTCCGTCTTCAGGATTACATTAAGTTAATTCAATTCATTCTTACTGTTGACATATATATATATATATATATATATATATATATATATATATATAT